CAGGCTGGGAAGGATGCGGCGACGGAGATGGTCAGCCGTTTTGGCTCCTTCGGATCGTAGCTGAGTGTTTTGCCTTTCGCAAGCTAAAACCGAGTTAGAAAGCTTTGGAAACGGATAGAATTCACATCAGAGATTTCACCTTCTTGATCTGGCTGCCCTCGGCAGAGGTGATGTTTCCAACAACGTTTCGCAGGTAGCTGAAAATCGACGATAGGATAGCATCAGGTGGCGATACCTCTGGGAACCTCGCGTTCTGAACAGAGTCTTTGTTGTGCAAGACTTCGCCCCATAAGTAAGCACTGAAATGGGGAGCTCTGCCATTCCATGTTAGGGGGTATTGTCACCGAATATGGAGAGGTAAACGCACATAGGGGTTAAGAGCAGAGCTTGCAACTCGATGTATCTCAATACCAGGTCACGGTGCATGCTGATACCCACAGATCTGGCCACGTCGCGGTACCAATCTCGAGAAGCGATCTAGTCACGTTGTCAGTTGCTGCTGGGATTGCTGCTGAGGTTTTCTCGATTCACTCACAAAGTCGTAATATCCGCTTTTCAGGGCAAGCTTGAAGGATGTGTCTACGTAACACGATTTGGTCTGAGCAACCAAGATATTCATCTCGTTTGAGAACAGCTTGTCGAAGAGGCCCCATTCGCCGGTCCTCAACTCAGGGTCATTTGCGGTATCTTGACACCATCGGCGCAACTCGAACAAGCGAAGAATGGTTGCATTAGCGACGGACTCTTCGAGGTTGGCATCTTCAATGCCATCACCACCATCTGCTAGAGAACTTTTCAAATTGCAAGTCAGCATAGACTTTCCTGGTATAATGCAAGTGGGAAGAAACAAGCGCGTCTTCGATATGGGCATTCATCTCAACTAAACAGGAAATTGACTGCATCAAACTCTTTTAAGTGAAGAGTCTGTCACTTACATTCGTGTAGCATCAGCGCCATATTTCTCAACGGCATCTCGTAGTGTCAAGAAGTTGCCTGTCGACTTGGACATCTTAACGGAGTTGAGAGTGAGATGGCCGTTAACGCGGATTCCACGTGGCCAGTATGGCTCGTCGAAAAGCGCAGTATGGTGGTAGAGGCAGAACATGAGGTGGTTGTTGATAAGGTCCTTTCCCGAGATTCTCACATCCAGGGGGTACCAATACGAGAATTCGCGCCTCATAGCGTCAAGGTCGGAGCGAGGTATGTCGCTGTCAACATCGTCCGCCCTTTTGAAAATATAGTTCCAGACCCCGTCGGCTGCCCGCTGGTCAGTAATTGCCTTTTACAGTAAAAGAATTGCTCATGAAACAGTGTTTTGCAGGTGTCTCGGGAGTAAAAATACCTGTTAGGGCAATTTATGCTCCCAAGACATGCTAGAAGGGGGAATGAATGACTCCAGGAATTGCATACTCATCTGGGAGGGTTGGATCGGTTTGGAGGACAAGCCGGGCTTTGTCCCGTAAATCCTACGTTGCCGGGTCAGAGTTCGCTCCGGGTATAATACTCGAAAGGGGAAACAGGACTAATTACTTACTCAGAGGAGAGGAAATGAGCCACGGTGTAGAATGCCATATAGATTGTCGAGTCCTTAATATGTAAGTAACTTGTTCTTGGACATAACGCTCTGATTGGTACTTACACTGAGAGATTCAACCAACTGGGATGCGTCCCATGGCAACTTCGTCCCCTAATATAGCATTAGCTTACGTTTTTACCTTAGCAACGCTAGACCTTTCTTACCAATCCAAAGGACCGGGAACAAGCCCACTGTGCTAGCCTACGATATCGCTGTCAGTGGTGTTCAATGCCTTGTGGTCATGAAGAAACTGACCAGTTGAGTGCTTGTTTCATGGCATGTTTTCCCTCCGGGAAGAAGCAATTGGTTCGGTCTGTCTCAATGGCATTGATAGTATCTTCGTACCACTTCTGGTCGCCTCCGTTTTCACCAGAACCTAGGAAGCGTCAGCTAATGAGTTGATGTATCGGGTCAAACAAACTCACCATAGTTGAAATACCATTGGTCCAGGTAGGCCTGTTGAACATGATATTCATATTAGTCTGCTGCAATTAAAGAATGTAAGTAGCCGAACTTACCGCAATGCATTCATCGCCAGATCGCTACACATGTTCTCATTAGTTCCCCGCTTGTAGATGATGTAGGCTGAGACGGGAGTACAGGGATATACTCACACTGATAACGACTCCGTCTGGTTCACCATAGTTGAAAGCCAAGCCGGAATCTATCAATTGTTTCTTGACTAAAGGTTTTGCCTCTTGAACAGACTTTCCCTTGAATTCGCCGTACAGCATGACACCAGAATAGAAGCCTTCCTTGTAGGCAGTTTCCTTCGCCTCTGCTAATTTCTGATCCTTTGGGCCGTTGATCTTCAAAGACTCGTAAAGTGACTTGGCTATTCTAAGTCAAGAGTTAGCAGGAGAGGGGCTACGTAAAATGAAGATCAGAGTGACACGTACAGATTGGACGTGGGCGTTTCAATGATCGGCAGGATATCTTCTACTACCCATTCTTTTTGGATGCCATGGAACTCTGGCTTCTTGGCTAGATCCAGTGTGGTCGCATAATCGTCCGGGCTGTCGGAAGGAACACACGTTACCACTCCTGTCCCTTTGGAGGCCTTGACCGTTGCCATAGGCAGAATTCTGATGCCTTTTTCGTGAACTGATAGAGGGGCATGGACCAGCGTCCCGACAACATCGGAGCCCTTGAGATCGACTACTGGGTAGTGCTCGCCCCAGGGGGTTACGCCCTGGAATGCCATCTGCAGTGTGTTAATGTTGGATTCGGAGTTTTGCTATCGCGCAGGAAGATGCTGAGGGTTTCTCCATATGTGTCGCTGGATGATCCAAACTATGACCACTTACTGTAAGAAAGTTAGTTGGGACCACCACCATGATATCATTGCATGTCACTGGGACTAGATTTGCACGTACCATTCTTAGCAGAACGCTCGCTGCAAAAGAAGAATTCATCCTCTCCACCTTCTTTCGGCACTCGGAAAATCTTGTAGTCTATCGTCGGTCCCACGAAACAACAGGTTTGACCGTACATAGTCTCAGGGCGAAGTGTAGCCGGGATGAAGTATACAGACGCCGATGAGGGGATCTTTTCGCCGATAATCTCCTTCGCCTTCTCGCACCATTCGAGTGTCTTCAGTTTCAAGGCGACGTATTCCTGCACAGCAATTCCCTCTCCGCTGCTTCGGTCGTGGTCCAAGCATGCCTGACCATCCTTGGGCGAGTAGACAGTGAAACGTTTGCCGAACTTGATCTTTTTGAGATCTTTGAGAGTCCTCATCTGCCAACTGACGAAGGAGTTGTAGAAGGGGTTGGCATCGGTCGTGACGAAAGACCTACGCCAGTCGATACGGGCGCCGACGCTTCTCAGGTCTGCTTCGCAATGTTGGGGGAACACTTGCAGCCAGTAATAGGGGTCGGCAAACTTGTGTATATCCTCGACAGGGATGCCAAGAGACAACATGATCTGCAGCTACGTCAGTCTTTTCCGACCCCAGAGATTCGTGGTTCCGAGATGACAAACCTCATACTGATATTTGGCGCCGCCCGACTTAGCGGCGACCTTGCTCTTGCTCCCACTGAATTTGGTCATGTCTGTCTTGGTAGCGCCAGGGTTGTCGGCCACTGTAAGTTGCTCGATCTCGGCGGTGGGGACGTTCTCGAAGTTCTGGCTAAACAGTTCGATCTCGCGCTTCAGCTTGTCGGCGGCGGCTTTGATGGGCATTCCCGTGCAATGGTATCCTTGTGGAAAGAGAGCTTTCTGTCCCATCATCCTAGCGAAGCCCGTCATGAACTCGACTCTGCAGGAGAGCGCGAGGCGAAGTCAGTAAATCGATCACATGTTCGCGCCTTCTGTGAGGAGAGATAAGGTATACGTACTTGGACCAGGTGAATGCATGGCCGGCACTGGAGAGGTCGCGTTAGATCTGGCGTTGTTGCCGAATTTTTGCTGAATGGGGGGGAATGAAAGAGTCAAATAGACTAACTGCAATGTCCCTGCGATAAATTAGATTCAATCGTTCGTTAGGACACTTCCCTAAGGAGACTTACCGTTCATGTACTGTTACAATATGGCGACGTTAGCCAGATTCACGATGAAATGGCACAGCAGGTGCTTCCTCGTGTAGGGGGAGGTTGACGGACTGGATATGCCATGGTAGCAAAGAATTTGGGGGGCTTCGGTTCGCCATCGGCCGGGGCATCCTGCTGGAAGAGTTTGGCATCGTCCCACTCCTTCTGGTACCGCTTCTCGTCGGCGATCAAGGTATCGCGCTTCTCGGTCTATCGAGCGGGCATGTCAATGTCAGTTGGTCGAGGGCGGCGCGGGGCAAGCGACGCACATTTTCCATCTTGGGAACGACCTTGGTGGCCGCATCATGGTCAATGGGCGTCACCATCTTGTCGCGCGATTCGGTTCGACGGGCGGGGAGAAGGCGACGGTTTGGAATGCGAAGCTTGTTGAGATAGCTGATGCTCCTTGGGAAAATAGAAACCTAGTATGACTCTTTGGGCGTGGGATAGGTAGTGGGATGGTGGGATGGTGGGATGGATGGTGGGGCACTTTTCCAGGTTGTCGCGTACCGTAGCAGATCTTACGGCACTTATGGCGGGGTAATTTACTTCCATGAGAAACCCAGCCTGGAAGCCAGTACCTACCGAATAGAAATACCTACATAACTGTACTATGTTCGCGGCTAATTCAGAGAGGCCTTAGGTATATAATAGAGCAACAAGTACACTCATATAAGAAGTTAGGTAGGTAGGCAGGCAATTTTCATCTTGGAAAACTTCAAACCGCTTAGGCTTGGTATAAAACAACTTAATTAATTAACATTATACATGCATGGCTTTATAATATAGGTCCTTTATAGATTTATTAACACTTGCTTTGCTTAAGCAGTGGTAGTAGGTAGGATCTTGATGAAAAAATCTTGGGACCGTAACAATAGCAAGCAAAAGTGAAACTCCGAATCGGGGAATCGAACCCCGGGCATGTCGGCACATCTTCACATCTATAACGTTTATTATAGACGGGTTGAGAGCGACATATGTTAGCCACTACACCAATTCGGATCAGTTGCTGACGGCATGAATCGAACATGCGTTTGCTCGGCCACAACGAGCTGTACTAACCACTATACGACGCCAGCTTGGTAAAGGAAACATGCATCAGCCGTGAATCGAACACGGGGCCCATCGATGGCAACGATGGATTTTACCACTAAACCACTGATGCTGTTGGTGGAAAATTCGCTTGCAAAGTCGGCTCATGTACCTAGCCTGGCATGTGCAACTTGTGTGCGGCAATGCCGCTAGCATCTATCGTGTTAATGCCGGGTTGCTGTAGCATATATTGTTAAATATGGCCGTGGCGACTACTCTCTGCTCTGAGTCTTCGTCTATTGCTCAAACCTTAAGATTTGATTGACGTCGCTCAATGCGCATATTGATTCTTTGGTTCAGTCATCATCATCACAATTGGACTTTATTCAATAACAACTCGAGTTGACGATTTGGCTATGCGATTTACGAAACTTTTGTAGCAAAACTATACTGGCAAGCAAGTATGAGGTCTAGCAAGCCATGCTCGTTGACATCATAAGATCAACATAGCCAACTCCTTCGATATGCGACTTCTGGCCGTGCGCTCCCACAATAAGACAACATAGCGGCCTCAACTGGGCGATGCAATCAATGGGGGCAGAAAACCTCGAAGTTTCCTCAGGATGCGCCTGGCGGGAGAGTCATTTTGTTAGATGACAGACGGACAGCATGCTGTCCCAGGGACACACACTCTTGCTTGCAACAGTTGCATTTGCTGCTCAAAGGATCATGGTCATTCAAGAACAGGACCAGGAACCTTTGACACAAGAGAGCAGCTCAGACTCAGCCAGCCCATAGGATCCATCCGACTAGAGAGCCTTGGACAAGCTAGTAGAAACTATTGACCTTGACAAGGACTCGACAAGGTAAAGTCACTTGGACAGCTGACCATAAGCAGACTGACGTGAGTGCGATAGCAACAGGTCAACGATACGGGAGGATCAGCTTTGTGGGCCGAAGAGATGGGATTTCTCTCTGCTTATCCTTGCCCGGGCACGATCTCTTGATGCTGATGAAGATGTGGCTTGCCATCAACGGAGCTGTCGGAATCATGAATTCCATATGGCAAGAGATTCTCACCGATGCCTTTTCTTTAATTCGCTGACGACTTCGCTTTTCGTAATCAACGAAATATTAAAATCGCCATTAATTTCACTCAATTCAGCTCACCAAGTATTTCACTCAGTGGCCTTATAAGGCATCGCTATCTGGACCTGACATCAATCCACCATCCGATTCCGCGTCATGGAAAGGCGATGGCTCAGCGTCGGACTTGGCGTGCTGCTGTATTTCGGTACGGCGTGTGCCTCCAGTCTTTCATGTGACGTTGCTAGTTTTGAGGCAATATTGAATTCCTTGAACAGCACGGCAACTGTTGTCTACGCGGCGCGGATTGCAGACGGCGGAAATTCATTCGACCCGAGCCCGGAATATCCTATTAATGCCACCAACTTGCCTGCGTTATGCGCTGTCAAGCTCAATGTCAAGTCGTCCGACGAGACCTCGTTCAGTGTGGGAATCTTTCTTCCGAGCAAATGCCATTGGAACCATCGGCTGATGACCACCGGCTGATGACCACCGGCAATGGCGGGTTTGGGGGAGGTATCAACGTACGTATTGCCTAGTCCAATACCCATATATTTAATTGACCAGTGACAGTATCCGGATATGGGCGAATACACTCACTACGGATTTGCAGCCGTGTCGACTGACACGGGTCATCTTTCAGATATTCAGGATAGTTCATGGGCATTGAACAACCCTGAAAGTATCGTCGATTGGAGTTGTCACGCTCTTCATGGCTCGGTTGACTTGGCAAAGCAAATTGTGTCGTCTTATTACAGCGAGCACGACACCACTCCAGTCTTGATCAAGAACTCGTATTACACCGGATGTGCTACAGGTGGTCGCCAGGGTCTGCGGGCGGTGCAGCTGTATCCCGACGATTTCGATGGTGTCCTGATCGGCGATGCCGCTTGGGAGACGACTCACCTCCAGTCGTGGTCAACTTGGATACCACTTCAAAATTACCCACCGGGATCCCCCCACTACATCTCCCCGGCTCTCTTCGGCTCGCTCACCACTCACATTACAAAGATCTGTGATGCCCAAGATGGTGTCACAGATACGATCATTCAAGACCCTGCTGGTTGTAGGATAGACTACGCGACTCTCCTCTGTTTGTCGTCGTCCGCGAACCATGATGCCTGTGTGACAGACTCTCAACTCGTTACTTTGAAGAAGATGTTTTCACCTTATACGATCAACGACACAATTGCTTTTCAGGGGCTACCGAATGGAGCCGACCCCTCACTCCTTGCGTCCGAGGCCAATGCCATAGGATATGGGTATTTCCAAGACTTTGTGTATAACGACACTTCTTATAATTTCACATCCTACACAGACGATGACTTTTCCTACACGGTTCAGGTTAATCCAGGCCGTGCGACAGCCAACGACTTCGATATCTCAGCGTTCGAGAGAAGAGGGGGCAGGGTCTTGATGTACCATGGCTATGCTGACCCCTTGATTCCAGCTGGATCGAGCATTGACTACCTGAACAACACACTAGAGGCTATGAAACTGGATCATACTCAGCTATCCTCTTTCCTTAGATTGTTCCTCATCCCGGGCATGAACCATTGCGTGTCTAGTGCACCGGCGCAGCCCGACACCCCTTGGCACATAGCAGCCGCTTCGCAGATCGCAGGGATAGCTGGTAGGCTGAACGGTGTGAGAAATGTTACGCATTCTGTCCCTGGATACATGGATCCCAAACATGACTCTGTCCTGGCATTGATGCAGTGGGTGGAAGAAGGTGCGCCACCAGAGGAGCTCATCGCCACGAAGTTCATGAACGAGACTGCGCCAGTTATCGAAAGCCAAAGAACGCTATGTCCGTGGCCAAAAGTGGCGAGGTATGAGCAGGGTGATCGAAACAAAGCCGAGAACTGGTTTTGCGATTGAGATTGCCGGTCGTAGTAATGCTATCTCAATACCACCTGTTTTGATTTATAAGTGTTTTACAACGCATACACGCTGCTCTCTGGCCGCTATAGCGGAAAGATGTAGCCGCATCACCTGGCCTCAAGAGGCATACTCTTGCTTCCAAGACTGAGTCGTACCGTGCGCACGGCCAATCGCTTCGTACCATGTCAGTTCGTTCAGCAAGTGAATGATTAATCTAGTACCATTCCAACAGCTGGGGTGCCAAGACGGGACGGCCCGGATCGGAATATGCCAAGCAGGCAGGCAGTGTGAAAAGTAAATGACTCCCTAATACAATTCTAGGTAGATAACTATCAACTCATGAATCGTGATGAATGTGCATTTAATCGATGCATAAGTCCTTCTTTAAGCTGGCAATAAACAGTTCATAAATAGCCCATAAATAGCTATAATGTGTGGTTGTACCTAGTCCTGCTTTGATTTGGGTCAACTTTATAGAGCTTAAACATAGTTAGCCTATAAGGTTCATTTTATTTTTGCACTTCGGGGTAAACATGTACCCCTTGCGCTACAAGGATACCTATATAAGGTTGAAAAATATTCCTATTTCTATACATATTATGCGTCTTATTATCTACTAAGTTGTAAATCCTGATATGCCTGGTTTCTAGATACCGGCTACTTGGCCTCCTTAGAGCTAACTACTCAAGTAGCTTGCGCTGACAGTTCTAGAACCGGTGGTGGTTGAAGTCATTGATATGAAACTGGTGACCTCGGGAATCATACATGGAGTTCGGACCATATTCGCCAAGGGATCTGTTTTGACCATCCGGAGCTCCTTCTGGGGGGCATTAACGACGACGAGTGGAGGGGAGACTCCAACTCGAGTGCTCGATCATGTGCATTTAATGATGCTTCGGTTGCTGCTCAGCATTAGATAAACGCTTTCTCCTATTTCCGTGGAGGTCTCTATCTCAACTTTGGTCTTTTCCCACCAAACTGCTTGATTTTGCAACCAGGGGAGAGATGGTTAAAGTAAGGCTAGTAAAATTAAGCAAATACCTACTCCCAAGCGAGCCTACTTGCATAGCCTGTCAATTCGGCTATGTGTCTTTCGGGTAACATATGTTGAAGGACTTCAAGCGTGCAGCATGCAGCTCTCGAGACTAACATGTTCTTAACACGGCTTGGAAATTCGAATTTTATACAGGGTAAGGGTTTCGAATAAACTAATTTCGTATATGATGTATGCATATACAACATATGCTGTTCCAAATTTACATGCCCGTGAACCACGCACGAACTACTAGACACGTGAGCACGCGATGAACTTGAGTTGATGGCTACGTCACATTATGCAGGTTTCCAAACAGCTGCCTTGCCAAGAAACGCGATCCACATCAGAGTTGCGCATGGTAAGGGACACCTCTGGCAAATTCCTCACTGTTCGGATATCGAGTTCTAAGCTGTATACAGTTGAAGAGGGGCTCTTCAAGGTGACATAGAGGGTACCTGATGGTCTAATGCTATATATGCTTTGCGTGTTATAGATGAAACTTGACTAGGTCGATAGATATAGTAGATGGATGTGTTGTTCGGTGGTGGCGCATGAACAGCTATATTCGACGGGCAGCCTGAAACAGAGACTGGACAGATGGATGAACTGTTCGTGGTTGAAACTGCCACGCATGCAGCGCCATTGTTTGGAGGCGTTGGTTGGCAATCCGTCTCGTATACCTAGGTGCAAGAAGGGAATATACATAGTAGAGACTCGGAGGTACCTAGGTACTTGCTGGACTCCACCAACGCCATCACTGTGGGTCGGCTGCGGCTAGTCGGCACCGTCAGAAATGGGGCTATCCCTGTAGGACATCTAGCTCTTGCAGGCCCGAACATTGAGGCTAGTCTCTGAATGGCCGCTTAGCACGCGTGAACCACTGAAAAATGACGCGACAGGACCCGTTTTTAAGTTAATCCTAGTCACATCCCGGTCGCCATCAGGTACCAACCGTCAATTGTTT